ATTGACATGCCTGCACTATATGATCCCTATTCATTTTGGGCATCACCTGGACAATGGCAGCCTTCAGAAGCTGTGGTATTGTGAGGATGGTAATTGGTCTTCTTTTTAATAAGCTGATGCTAACCTCAAGGAGAGTGATTCCTTTTGCTTTCTTGGACAAACATTTTCCACTGACATGAAATGGAAAGAGTATATTGAATCAATTGCAAGATCTGCTGTTAAAAGGTTGGTTCATTGTGTCAAGCTAGACAATTTTTCTCACCAGAATCTATTTTACATATTTATAAGTTTACCATTTGTCTTTGCTTTGAATATTGTTGCCACATCTGGTCTGGTACTCTTAGTATATATTTAGAGATTCTTGATAGAATCCAAAGAAGATTCTGCAATGTTATTGATCCTGACCTAACATATTGGCTTCAGTCACTTTCCCACCATCATATTCCTTATTCATTTTGAGCATCACCTGGTTATTGGCAGCCATCAGAAGCTGTTATATTGTGAGCATGTTAATTAGTCTTCCTTTCAACATTACAAATGGTGTAGTACATGGAATTTAAATCTGGTGAGTTTGGATGTGACAATTTTGGTGTTAAATGACATCTATTCTTGGATTATATTGGCTTTGTGGGAAGGTGCAGAGTCTTGTTGAAACACATGTGGACTTCCACTATATACTTTGTCCAACCAGGGCTTCACACCTGTCTCCAACAGCTTTAATTCTGTGGGAAGATGTGAGGTGACATGACATGATATGACATTTGCTGGAAACTTAGTGTGTATCACCCTGGGGACATCATAAAAATATGCACATTACCATCTGTCATTTCTTATGTTAAAGTTTTGGGATTTTTTGATATTTTTCTCATCAGAGAAAAACCAAAGCATGCCATGTTTTTGAGCATTTTTAACCTTGTTAAGTGACCACTTAGTACAGACCAAACACTTTTCCTGTGTCTTTGCAGGTATGAAATGACTTTTCCTCAGTACCAAATATATGAAATGTCCTCATGCATCACAGTTTTGATAGTCCAATCTGATACTTGAAGTTCTTTAGCAATGACCATCTTTGATTTTCCAGGATCATCATAGAATAAATAATAAATATGTATTCAACCTAAGAATTGAAAAAATTATAAATGATGCATGGACTTCAATAGACTTGTTGAGGCCTTGCCAAAATGCATTTTTCATGTAGGTTTAATGTCAGGGAACTGTTACAAGTTACTAGGAAGAAAAATTTCTTTGACATTCTGTTACTGATTTTATAATTTTCCAACAGTTGTTTTTGGACTTTTTTGATTTTTTAATGTCTACGAAAAAATATTTTCAAAATAGTTACTTATCAAAGAAAATTCTCATTGCATATGTCTGTGAAAATGATATATGTAATTTTTATATATTAAGAACAATTTTAGGAAAATCTGACAAAATAGAAAAAGTCTTTGTGTGATGCATTTTATTCTTTAGGATTTTATCAGACTAAAGTTATATTTATTTTGATGTGATTACATATGCGCATAAAGGAGAGGGGATACTGAAATTTTAAATTTAAATTAAAACTTTTTTTTAAAAAAACATGTCTATAGCATATGTCTACAAAAACTTAGTGCCAAATCAATTCAACTTTCAAAGTTGAAAGGTCAGTTTGTCTTATAAATATGTATGATATTCATAAGAGCCTTTTGTTGTAGATTTTTTTTTCCTTGCTTTTATTTATTTTCCTTAATTTTAGCTAATCCCCAATTTCTAACCCCCAACAAATCTCTCCCCTCTTTTTACAGTTAATTCTCATTTTTATCTGCTAAAACTTTTTAATCCTTTTATACGTACCAGGTTTTCAGTGAATAAACTCTGCATTTAGAAAAAAGATTAAATAATCCCTTTTAACTCCTTTACTGCTGCATTTCACTCTGCAAATTTACTATTTGTTCTAATGTCAGTAAAGGCAAGCACAAAGCTTTTCTTTGTCACTACAACAGTTACAGACATTCAAAATTGTTGATATAAAAAATAGGATAAAAATAAAAATAACCGTGATTTTTTAAAATTTTTTTTATGCATATCACCCCAGGCAAGGTGGGAGCCCCACAACCATGGAAGGGGTTACAGAAAGTGAGAGCAGGAGTAAAGAGGATGTTTGAGGAAAGGACACAGAGAAGGACTGGGATCAGGATCAAGGCATCAGAAAATGTCGATTGACATTGCATTTGAATATTTGAAGGTTATAGCTATCAGGGAAGCAAGTAAGAGGGAGGGAGTGAGTTCCACTGACAGGAAGTGTGGGATAAGAAGCTGTTGGAGTAGAAGAGATAGCTACATTTAACCATTTCAACAATGAAAAAGTGTGACTGAGATGCCAACCTAGTAGCACACTTAAATTCATGCAGTTTTGGGAATCAGTTGAGTTGAACAGCTGCATTTGACAAGTTGCATAATAAATGTTAATCTTAATTGGTTTCATAATCCACAATTGAAAAAAGAATACTGTATTTCCTGTCTGTAAATATTTTAGAAGATGAAATTAGCTTTGAGGTAAGGTAGGTAATTAATTTTTGATACTTTTCGATACCTAAGGTTTAAAATGAATTTTAAAAAATGAAAAAGCATTCTTGAAGCTTTATTTTTAGTTTTAATTGAAAGCTAAATGAATAAATTTACTATTTACAAAATACTCTGGTGTATTTCAAATAGAAATTATATTGATTGGAATGTCAACTTTTTGGTTACTTTCAGAAAATCATTTAAAATTGGCCATTTTTTGACACATTTGTAAACAAAAATTAATTCTCAGGCTTAAAAATCTTCCAAGAATAAAATATACTTTTCTGAAACTTCATTTGAGGAATATTAGCTGATTTAAAGTATAATTAATCTGATTTGAAACAAATATTATTTACTTTAAGTTGAAAATAACAGAGAAATGGATTTTTAAAACAAACAGTAGTGGTAATTTATGCATTTTTCATCGCTCATCAATCACTTAACAAGTGCTGGAAGGTGTTGACAGATTTATTTGTTCAGAGACTTTATCTGTTAAAACATAATTTAAGTAAATGACAAGTGAGCACCTTTAATTTTTAAGTACTTAGTAATTTTAAAAATGTTGGAAAATATTCCCTGTAATCTAGTTTAAGGAATGTTGACTTTAAATTTACTGTCGTCATTGCTCTTATTTTCTGATAATGTCACGTATGGTTGACCATACTTTCAAACAGGGGCACATTACATAATATTTTATATACATAAAAAAAAATGGAGAATTTTAAATGATTTACGTATTATAAATTATTATAATTAAAATTTTAAAAGAAAATAAACAATTATTCATTGAAAAGAATTTTTTTTTTAAACAATAGTCTCCTTAAAAATTCTTATTTATAAAAAAAATTAAAAGCTTTTTAATTAAAATAATGCCATAGTTTTATTGTATTTTTTTATCATTTGGAGCAAAATTTCAGGAAATGTGTAGTAATTTGAAAAAAAGAACTAATAAAAAAAACTTTTTATACGTATTTTAATTTTTCAGAATTTCCCAAAATTAAGTGAGGGTAAAAAAAAATATTTTTTACCAAGATTTTCTAAAAAAAAAAAAAAAAATTCAAAAATAATTTAATTCATTTGTAAAGAAGCCCTGAAAGTTTCATTAAAATCCAACAATTATTTGACTTTTGCAAGAATTTTTAAATCAATGTGTTCTTCACCCAAAAAAAGGTGTTAAAACACTAATCATAAATATTATCTAGACCACTGATGTAAAAAACAAGATTTTTCACCAAAATTTCGAACGTGCTAGAAATGATTAAAATAGTAAAAAAAAAAAATACTTTGGTTTTTCCACTTAATAATAACATAAACAATTTTATTAAGTTTGGGGTCTTTTTTCATCATGCTATGCTGTTTTTCAATGAAAAAATGGAGGTACCTAAGGTAAACTCTGTAAACTTTAGGAAGATCTAGGATGATCAAAAGATATATCATATGTAGAAAATAGTATTTTAAAATAGTTAATAGTTAAAAACAAACTAACAAAAGCGTAAAAGCAAATGAAAATACTTTTGAGACGCGCTAATATTTTTACTCTCTCTCTCTCTCTCTCTTTTGTTTGTTGTGAGAAGCTTTACTTAGTCTGGTTCAAAACCAACTGGAAAGTTGTAATACACCAATCTTTTAAAAATTCTTACTTGAATTTGAACACTCAGGATCAACTCTCGTAATAAAAGTACAACAGTCTCAGCCACCAGGCAAATGTAAGAATGTCTTATAGTTGAGCATATATATTTAAGTTGTATATTAATGTCCGGAATTTTATTTAGATTTTTAAAAAATATTTATTTTCAATATAGTTTGGATTATTATTATTATTATTGAATGGCTATAAAATGAAAATCACATTAGCTAGATGACATTCTTTGATTTCCTAAACAAAATGTGACTGTTCTGGTATCCAAACCAAATGAAGAAGGCCAATGCACAACTAATTCTCATCAACTCTAGTAAAACCATGTGGCCTGGAAATTTAGTTCAACATGATTGTCACTGATAGATAAATAAATTACTATTAATTCACTCATTCTCTGTCTGGATGCACTTGTGTATTGCTTATCTTAATCATAACGATATCAGAAAATGTTAAAGTGCTGCCTTGATTAAATTTGCTTGCTAAAACCCAAGTGTGTAAGTTGGTGTTGTAGACTAATCTGTAGAAAATGGAATTACTTGTCTGTCTCTACAGATTGTCACTTCAAAAGAATCTGTATTTAGATTTTCGTTTTTTAGAGTAAAAGTGAATAAAAAGAGTTACCAGCAATAGAATTATCCTACAGCACTTTTTTTGCAAGGATTTAAAAAAAAAAAAAAAAAAAAACAGACTTTGTTTTAAGAATTAGTTCTGAAAAACTAAATTTAAAATATACCTACTGTATATATTTTTTTTCATTTTAAATTTAATATAAATAATGTTCACTCAATACAAGACCCAAGAGCCACCCAGTTTATAGCCAAATCATGTTGAAACATTGGTTCCTGTACAATCACCAAAGTTAAGCAACACCAAGCTTGGTCAGTACTTAGATTGGTGACTGTTTGGGAATACTAGGTGCTGTAAGCTAGGATGTGCAGATGGTGTAATTAATAATTGCTGGAAATTGTTAATCAGAGAGCCGTGTCTCAATTCCAGTCAGGTTCATTATATTCACTTACACACAAATATCCTTTGGAAAGGTATGAATCCATTTCTCCTCCCCACACATGGACTAATTAATAAAACTTTTATAACTAAAACCATTATTATCTCCAAAAAAAGAACTGTGTTCAAAACATTTAGATTTTGGCATTAAATAACCCATAGAGGTTGATATGCCACTAAACAAAATCAACCAACCAAAATCCAAATATTTAGATTTTGGCATTAAATAAACGATAGAGGTTGATAAGCTGCTAAACAAAACCAACCAACCAACTATGAGCCACTCAATATAGAGGGTAATTGAATGAGATTGTTATATGGACATAAGAGGGGAAAGTAAGTGCAGATTATGAGCATATGTAGGATAGATATTGGTTGATCCTAGACTTGAAAAGGTTAAGATTGTAGTAATCAATGAAGCATCCATTCAGGAGTCTGTTGCACAAACTAACAGTTCTTGAAAAAAAGCTGTCAGTTTCCTTCTTACCAATAGAATGCAAAGGAAATCTGTATGATCCGACCCTGTGTATGTGGGATGGTGAAACCTAGCTGTAAAGGTCTGCACTGATGAAACTAAATAGCTTATCAGAATTTTTGCAATGGAAATAGTGATAGATAGGCTTGCCACATTTCATCTATGGCTCAAGAAAGAGCCTACTGTGTCTTATAAGGAAAGTTAAAATATGTCTGGAAATGTTTATGCAGACACTGTACCTAGCCTAACTAGAATTATATTAAATACTAGCAGTAGAGCCCGGCGTTGCCCAGGGATGTAACAATAAGAGATAGATCAAGTATCGACCATCATAAAGACTGAAAAATAAAATTGACAAAGATTATTGTTTAAGGCTGACGGACACGCATGTCTTAATTATTTTTTTTTATTTTTTTTTTTACGAATTGGTCAAACTCAAACAAAAACATTGTTTTCAATCGTTATCAGTCTACCGATTGAATAGAATTTTATTATAAACAATTGTTTTGTAAATGGAATTTTTAAAGCATTCTGAATGTAAAGATAAAAGTGTGCAAGACAATAAGAAACACTACCTGCCAAAAACAAAAGTGAAGTTTTGTTGAAATCGGTTGAAAAATGTAGGAAATCCGATCCCATGTATAAACGAACACACACACACAAACAACCAACCTGGGTTTTATAATAAGTATAACTCGATATGTGTTGTTCCCCTTTCATTAATGCCTCTTAATTGTGTTTTCAAATTGATTTTGTGCAAAAACAATTGTTTTTCCAATTTTTGGTGCTGTCAGAACCACCGTAAGGTAATTTTACGTAGTCCTGTGAAGTTTTATTGAAATCGGTTGAAAAATGTAGGAAATTCGATCCAATATATAAACAAATAGACACATATGCACACACACACACACACAACCTGGGTTAAATAATAAGTATAATAAATATGTGTATAGTGGGGCGTTCTTTTATGCCATCAAATCTGTGTGCCATTGTGTCTATTCAGGCCACAGATTCCCCTCTTTTATTGTTTTTAGCAATACTTCCTCCTTTATGATTTCCTGCTTTTGTGATATCTGTTCCTTCATTTTCTAAAACTCGTTAAACTCTCTAGGCTTCTTTCTTCATTGTATGCCCTGAAATTTTCAGCTCTCTCTTTCTGATTGTTATGAACTGTTTCTTTTGTAATTTTTATTTTGAGAACTTCCTTGTTTATCACATGTTTTATCTGTTGTATTCATATCATTCATTTCCATCTTTTTTTTTTTTTTTTTGTTTCTTTTTTCATTCATTATGACATTGCACAACTTTCATTACCACATGGCAGTCTGACACTGTTTTCTTCATTTCTTATGTTAGTTTTCAATTCCTTAATACCTTACTCAGTTTCTGAAAGACCTCTTTCCCTATTCCTATGCAGTTTTTAATACTGGGATACTATGGACATGCACATGAAAAAAGATATAGTTTTATCTTGATCTCAAGTGTTTCTGTTTAATAGCCAGCAGGTGATTCTTTTTATGGTCTAGTTTTCTAAGCATTGTATACTTTGACCAAAGTGGAATGGGAAGTAAAGGCAGAGATGAGAGTTTTTTGAAGATCAAGTGACAACAAAACCATAAATAGAGGGTATCTAGATGCTGGTTGATATTGGTCATACTTGTAGTTGGAGTGAGTTCCAGTTCACCCTTGGGAGATGGACTTGTACATTGTGTGGTTCCAATGCTGTCCATTTGTATTGCCAGCTACCACATCTGGATGAGTAGATGGGCAAGGCATTGGTAGGGGGATAGCCGAGCTGTTATACCAACCTAGCAGAAGTTGTCCCAAGTATCACGTAACCACTCAGATGAGCAGGTGAAGTGCTAAATAAAACATCCACATATAATATGGGAAACAAGGTTCACATTCTTATTTCTTGATGTAGCGTTTGTCTTTCATCTTGTTAATTTGTGAGCATGCAACAGGCCCTTTCTCAGATTTCAATGCACACCAACAAAATTGAGAATCAAAATGCAACATGGGGGTAATCACTGTAAGGTCAGTATGAAGCTAAGGTGATGTTCATGTTGTATCTTTACAATACCATACTTAAAGAAATAGACAAATTGAAACTAATCATATATTTAAACTTGAACAAAATGAAGTTGGTTAACTATACCATATGTGTTGGTATATAAGGTCTGACTTACCACAATGATTTAAAAATTATCCCCTAGGTTGTACATACAATGTTGAGTTATCTGTTAGGCAAATGCTTACCCAGATACCATAGATTACTAGTACTTGTATCTAGCCTCACTCCATAATATTGTAATATTAAATGTAAATATTATTGTAAATATATCATCAAATGCAGTCATCTTGCAAACTAAAAAAATTACCATCTTTGTTCCGTAGAAAATTTTATTCTTTCTTATTTTTAGCTGAATTTATTTTTTTTTTTAATCATTTCACCCCAAGCCAGGTGATAATGCCACTAAGATACAAGGGGGTTAGTTAGAATGAAAGAAAATGAGTAAACTTTTGTGAGAAAAAAAGGACAATAAAAGGACAGGGTTTAAGAAAACAGAAATTGATGATTGATCTTGCATCTAAATTTTTGCAGACTGCAGGTGGCAAGAAAGCAAGAAAACAGAAGAGTTTCACAGGCCAGAAACGTGAGAAAAATAACTATTAGAATAGAATTTATAGTTACACCTAGCTATTCCAACAGTAAAAATATGAGACCTAGTTGCCAATCAAGTAGCATACTTAAATTCATGTGGTCTAGATACCAAGGAGGAAAGGTCATTACAACTATTGCTATGAAAATATTTATAAAAAATGCAAAGGGAAGCCAAATCATGGTGTTGATAAAGTGACTGAATCAAGATGCCATGTCAGGATCTATGAATTTATAGACTCTTCTTTGGATTTTGTTGAGCATATTGACATGTATACCAAGAGTACTAGACCAGATATGGCAGCAATATTCAATACATGGTTGAATATAAATGGCAAACAAAAATTGTCTGGAATAGAAATACATAAATTATTATAATTATACCAAATAAAATGAAGCAAAAAAAGACAGAAAAATTTAATTAAATAAATACAAGCAGCACACATGCCCAGAGAAACAATCTAGTTGGGCAATTTTTTTGTTTTTTGGCAAGTTGGCGCTCACTTAAGAGAGGAGTTAGCTTTCCGATTTTATAGCCAAGATTCCTCTGTCATAAAGGTAGGTGAGTTTTGGGCAGGGTCAAGCAAAAAAGAAAAAAATTGTTTATTTGCTTGTTCACATACAGGCCAATGGAGAAGCAAAGTTTCCTTTAAGTTTAATACTTAACAAACTATGCATGAAGAGGTACTTTAAAAGATTTGACACAATACCAAAATGACAAGTTAGAAAGTCATTGCATTCAGATATGGGTGAGGGCAGGTAATTTCTCTCTCTCTCTCTCTCTCTCTCTATATATATATATATATATATATATATATATATATATATATAATACATTTTAGTATATATAAAAGTCTGTGACTTCCATTAGTCTGTCCATCACACCCTCCAAAATAGATATACAGCAACTGATCAGAACCAAATTTAAACAGGTAAGAGAGTACAATTTGCTTTACTAGGTTGTGTAGCTTAGTACAATCAATTTTCATTAGTTTTTTTGTAAAAATTAAAAGTTTTATTATTTAACATATAAAATACACCCACTATTTTAAAAACAATTTAATGATTAAAATAACAAATACTTATTTAATAAAAATGCAAAATTGTTTTTTTGCATATTTTTAAGTTTTTATATATACAAGAAACCAGTTTCCAGTTTGCCCAGCGTTTGAGAGAATTTTTACAAAATCTCAAAGCCAAACGCTTCAAGAAGTTGGAATTTGGCTCCAGAAAGAAATAGTTATGCATGGCCAGTTGTATGTAGCATGCTCAAGAGTAAGAAATCCTAAGAATTTATTCTTCAGTGTTAAAAAGGAAAAATAAATTTTCTTAAAAAATATTGTTTACCATGAAGTCCTATAAAATTAAAGAAATTATTAAACCATGAAGTAGGTTTTTTTTTTTTTGGTCACCAGTTACTTACCATTTCCTGAAGAAGTACAACAAAAGTATTGAAACATGAAAGCTTTTGTGTCGCAATTTCAATGTTTTTATTATAACCTCTTATAATAAAAATAATAATATATTGCTCTACTTTGTACTGAGCACTTTTTTAAAAGTAAATGCTACAGTGGAATTTTACTCCATCTGTTCTTCCTCTCATTTGGAGATATATATAATTACAATAATATCAAATAAAAACCCATGCTGGTTGATATGCCACCAACCAAATATACCAAATAATATGAGTCAAAAAAATTTTTAAAAATGTGGAACCACTTATCCATGTGTACAGAAAAATTCTTGTTAGACAACTGTCTGTTTTGGTAAGTTGGCATGACGT